GAGTCGCCTCTCGATTCTTTACTTCCTCTTCACGTTACTTTTTTAACCTTTCTCGATCGGTGTCTCCTTTGGAACGATATCCCCCTTAACAAACACAAAGCACGCTTCCTTGTACGTCGAGTGATGATCTAAAAAGCTCTAAGATGAAGAGCACGTTCTCGAGTTTCATCGAGGATTGCGATGGCTGAGCTTGTCGGTCGAGATTGCGTGGTCTCGATGTGTATTCAAGTTGATTGAAGATTGAGTGTAGGGTCGATTTACGATTACTTCAGGCCTTTTGGCAACGATTATGAAACCTTACGTGGCACTGATGATTCGTTTCTACGAATAAAATCGATTGGATTCCGGTATTTTCCATCTCTTATAGGATAGAAAAAAGTTCATCGAGTTAGAGATATTGCATTTTTTCCTAATCCTGTTGCCGTCTTGCGATAATTCTTATTCGATTCTCGAAATATCGAAGAAAGAATAATATTCAATAATAAAATATATATATAAAATTTAAAAGATTTAATTCAAAGAGAAAGAAAAAATTAATTCGAAAGCCATGATTGCAGCAAGAAGTAATTCTCGTCTATAATATTTTCTTATTCCTTTATTATTTCCTCCTCCTGCTCTCTTTCGAAAAGAGAGAAAAAAAATGATAAAAGTGAATTCTAACGAGAAAACGTGTATCGAATCGTTCGTGGTAACACTTGGCCCGATAATTCGCACGAAGCACGAAACGCGCGGGAATTTTAATTCGAACGACAGATCGAGTCGAGTGGAAAATGAATTCGTGTGGAACAGGAAAGCTGTGGCAAGATAATATATTGCGAGCGATGGAAACGAAGGGTGTGCGAATATTCTGAAATTATTATTTTCGTTCCACGATATATTCCACGCATATTTGATTTCAAATATCTTCAAAAATTAAAAATGTTGCATTTTTAATAAATTTTTTTTGATAATTTTTAATAACAGGAAATTGGACATATTTTATTAATGGTTTGTCAAAAATATTGGATGGAAAGAGTAAGAGAATATTGCTGTAATAATGAAGGATGAATTATAGAAATTATATAAGGTGAAAAATAAAAAATTGTAATACAGTTTATGAGAAAATGATTGCTTAGATGAAATTGTATAATTGCTCTAATTTGAGAAAAATAAATTTGAATATGTAAAACTTTTAAAAATTTCAAATGATAAGTGATGAAGAATTTTATTCATTTAATTAATTATTAATTGTTATTAATTTATGTAGGACAGTATTCATATGACAGTTTAATAAATTTCATTCATTGAGCAATGTGAAACGATAGACACATACTTAATTTAAAATTTGACAGTAAAGTTCCATTACTAATGGATTACCGATAATCGGTAACTGATATAAGTTATTAATCACACAACATTGTGTTCAATAATTATTAATTACCAGTTTCTATATGAACGAAATCAAAAATTAGTTTAAAATATCATTTTAACATCATTAGTATTATCGTTAAACTCAATAAATAATAAATACATACGTAAAATTGAAATATCTTAAATTATATTAATATAAACATAATCATAAATCACATCTGGATAATGAAAAATGTACACGACAAATTATTTTGCAATTCTATACAAAATTCGAAATGATATAAATGTTATAATCGATATTAGTTCGTATTTATCAAATGGGATAGAAATTTTCACAGGAACGTTAAAATTCGTTCGACTGCCCGAAGATTAAATTAAAGCTGATTTAATATCGATATTCTGGAAGTAGTCTGAGTCATGGAAATCAATTTCGAGCACTTTTCGAGGCGAATTGTTTCGATATGAAATTGAATTATTAACAAAATCGTATTTATCGATGCATACAATTAACGTGAAAAAGATTTATTCTTAACAAAGTTGCCATTAAGATTAATCAAATTGGATTTGAAACTTGATTCTAGTACAGTATCAAATTCAACCTCGATATTTGAATTTTAAATTATTATAAATTAAATTTTTAACTGACAATGAATTTTAAATTTATTAAATGAATCATTTCGTAACGAATTTGCATCAAATATTTGAGATTTTGTTTTATTAAATTATAATAAGATTATATTATAATTGACGAATCTAAGATTATTATTATTATTTCGAAAGACATTGAACACGAAACAAATATATACGACCCTTTCAAAAAAAGCAATTTTTCATTTCATAAAGTGTATATTACGAAAAAAATGTGGAGGAAACTTGTCAAGATTGGTGACACGTTTTGTGTCATGGCCCCTGCCAGGAATATCACGTACACGTAGTTACGTGCCTGTTAGCTTGTCTTCATCGACGAAGGAAGGTGGAAAATCTATGTTATGAGACTTTTGCTTTCATAAGCGTGGCATGAAAGTGAGCTATATGCACGATGAATATTTGTGAAAATTGAAGAGCTCGACGCATCCTTGACATTTTCTTCTTCGAATATTAATGTAACCAAGTGACGAGAGCTATTTATACGTATTTGTATCCGATTGATTTATTTTCGTCTCGTTGCGAGAAGAAAGTGACGAGAGAATATGAAATGAAAAAAAAAAGAAATTTTTATATCGCATTTTAATTCTATTCACATCCATAAAAACAATGGACAATCTTTGAAAGATCAATTCTAGGCGTCGAAACAAGCAAAAAAGTTGATATGCCAAAACGTCGATTGGATTATATTTTTCGAGTTATGCGTAATTTAATTTTAGAGCAGGAACGCCTGTACGTAGGCAACCGGCCCATCGATCAGCTGAGCACGGCTTGGCTAGGCCGGTTGCCTATATACAGGCGTTTCTATTATAACGCAATGATTGTTCCTGTTCGTTATTGAATACGTGTTTGATTAAAATTTTTTACGTGTATTTAACGTTAAGATATATTATAAAAAAATTGTTGTATCCATCGAGAATCAAGAATAATTAACAAAATTGACGTCTTGATGCTTGAACCAAAAGTAATCCTGCAATCTTCTCTGCATTACAAGTCGTCCAAGTTCTTTAATGCAATTAATAGGATCTAATAACGTCGATGCTGCAAATGGCACGCTAATTACCTTCAAACCAATTACATTTTATTACGTTCAAGTGCGGCGAGATATGCTGTTTGCCTAGCTTTGATGCTAACCATCCTTTTTACGGCCAACTAACTATCCTTTCTGTAATTCTTGTGATTTTCTGCAATCTGCACACAACTTTAGGTGAATCAAAAGTTAGAATGAAAATGATTCTGCAATTATTTCTATTTATCAAACATATTAACTGAAATATTAATATTAATATATTATTTGATATTAATATATTGATGTTAATATTAATTACTATTTTCATTAAATATACGTTTTAATATTTTAATGAGCATAAATGTGTTATATACGTTTGATGAATCATTTCAATACGCAATCTTGTCACCTTTTCAGAGAACAAAGAGAATTTAATTTTCAAACACGATGATAAATTAATCTAAACATATCTAATATTATAATCCTAATTAAATGTGTATTAAAATTAAATAAAAAATAGTATTTTTGCAATCACAATACAATAACACGATATCTATTCGAAGTAATAAGTAATAAATATATTATTTATCGAGGAGAAATTTAAGAAGATTTGACAGGAAATCAAAAGAGATTAGTCATTTATTTCCCCTGGAAAATGCGTTTAATTACCTCGTCTACGTTGTTACGGTTTAAGTTGTAATAAGGGCATACCATCTGGGATCTTTAATCAAAAGTCGAGCTCTTGAAAGACTTTACAACAATTCTCCTCAACTTTGATTTAAGCTAGCTCTCTCTCTCGATACTCGAACGAGAAGTCGGCTTTTCTACAGTCTTACCAAGGACTTGCTCTTCTTGAAATCCATCTGTTACTTGTCGTTTGTTCAATATAGACTTTTCTTCTTTCTTATTTATTATACACGTATAGTATTATTTTTTTATTTTATATATAATATTAATTTTTTTCAGGAGGATAAAAAAATAGATTTCTGTAAATTTCATGATGCAGAGGAAGCTAAATTTCTCCCTCAAGAATTTAAGAGCGAATTTATAATTGTTAAAAAATTGTTAAAGAAATTGTTTGTCACTTTCACTCGTGTATCTAGAGGTTTAATTAAATAGCCAGTAAAATCAGTACTTTATAAAAATTAAGAAAGAATCAAGTAATAATCGATAAATTTCAATTCGATATTTAACAAAAAAATATATATATATATAT